ATTTTTACCCCTACATGGGGTACCTCTACATGGCCTGCAAAATGACACATCCTCTGCCCTAGGCTGCTGCGTCTCTCTACACTCCAGAAGACAAGGATTTTCCTATCCAGTCACTATCAAACTTCTTCATGTGACATCTTGCAGTCCCAGCAGCACCCACTATTGAGTTCAAGCCCTGCTAGCTATTAAGGGCACTTCCACTTCTTTCCACCAAGGGACGGAAGTTCCACTCTCAGCTTGCGAAGGCTTTTCAAATTATAATACCACTGGGTAGCCTTTTAAAGTGTGACCAACTGTTGAAAAGGGAGGTGCAAGCAATACAGACACCATGTGAGAAAATTATGATTTTTTTTCCCAAGACAACGAATTACTGGCCAGTAATGCCATCCAGTTAAGTCTGTAGGTGGATCTTCAAGCTGGAGGGCCAATCGGAGGCCTTTCAGCTTTAAAGAAGTATTAGACTGCAGAAGAGCTCTGGAGAGAATACTATTATATGGAGGTGCCCTCACTTGTTTAAAACTTAAAATTGAATTTAAAATGGGTTTTCTAGCCAGTCTGTCACTGTTGGGAGTGGGAGAGTTGGTGGAGCCAGGAAGGTAGGACTTGCAGCTGGTACAGCACCCAGTTATGCATGGAGGGCCTCTAGGTCTGCTACCATAAATTCAAAGCAGTCAAACTAGCTCTGCCCCCTTCAACTGGGAAGTCACCATTGGCTTCCTTTAATTTGTCTTGCCTGCCTTTAAAATGTTGGATCTGCAACCTGCTATGCTCAGCCATCCCACTTTCTCAAAAATACTCAAGGGATAGGATGGAACTAGGGAACCAGCTCATCAGCAGGCAGTAATTATCCCATTCCCAGACTGAAAATCAGTCATTGGATCCCTGTCTCAAAACACAGTTCCTGTTCTCATTTTGTTCTGGTGAGTCCCTATCTTCTTGTTTAGGGAGTCTTCAAAAGTCATGTCAAAACTGTTTCCGTTGACACTGGACTTACTCTATCTTCTCTTACACTTCTTGTTTGGTGTCTTTTAATTCTCTAAATACTTTAAAAAATTAATAAGGTGAAAGTTACTAGAAATGTTTGGGAATTTTTTGTTTAATTTGAACAATGGCAGCATCGTGCATTTATACAGAACCTTTAATGAAGTGAAAGGTACCAAGGTGATTCCAAATACATCTGATAATTTGTAATAGCAGGGGATAAAAACATGGAGAAGAGAAGTCTGTGTACTTTTTCCTTTTTAATTAGTTTTCTTGCTGTGCTATTTTTGCTTCAAATTTTTTTCCTTTGTCTCCTGTTGGCACTCCCTCATGCTGCAGTATAACTCCATAGTAGCAGCCACTGAATAGTTTGCCTCTTTATGCCATTATTTGTCTGATCCTCTTTTAGATTGGCATGCTTTTCAGTTGTGGAAAATATCTTAGCCAAGTGCAAAGCTTGCTTCATCTAATGTTCATAAATGTAACAGTCATGTAAAGTAATCCTGGCTGATGTCAGTTGTGACTGAAAACTGTTGCTCATGCTTGTTTAATGGTTAATCTTTCCAAAAATATTTTCTTGCTGCACCATTATCAAGCTAAGTAGGATTATGATTTTAAAATTGTTTTAGACTGTGATCTCTTTTTTTTCCTTCATTTTAGATCTTGATTGTTTATCCATGCTTTTCACAAAGTGTATGCCACATCTAAACCGCACCTTTTCAGATGCTATATCCATGCTTTCAGAAAGTGCAGATACAATTGGAATAGATGAAGACATTCAGAACTGTCATCATTGCCTTTTAGTAATATTGTATCTGGCTCATATGTACGAAAATAGGTAAGAGGTTTTATAAATAATTTTATTAGCCTTTTTTAAAGAAGTGGGAGATTGGCAGATTAGATACTACGGCAAACTTTTTGTTAACCAGCACCTACGGGATCAGAAGTGTGCCGGTTGATCAAATATTCCTGATAATCAAGAGGTATGCATAACCACAATAGAGTCATAGAGTCAAATGGAAGCAGGCCCTTCAGTCCAACCAGTCCATGCCAAACGTACTCCCAAACTAAACTCATCTAACCTGCCTGCGCTTGGTCCATATTCCTCCAAACCTTTCTTATTCATCTGCTTACCCAAATGTCTTTTAAACACTGTAACTGTACCCGCATCCACCACTTCTCTGGAAGTTCATTCCACACACAAATCACTCTTTCTGTGTAAAAAATGTTGCCCCTCATGTCCTTTTTAAATCTTTCTCCTCTCACCTTAAAAATATGCTCTCTGGTTTTGAAATCCTCCACCATAGGGAAAAAATACCTCCCATTCACCTTATCTATACCCCTCATGATTTTAAAAACCTCTATAAGGTCACCCCTCAACCTCCTACACTCCAGTGAAAAATGTCCCAGCCTATCCAGCTTCTCCTTATAACTCAAACCTTACATTCCCAGCAATGTCCTGATAAATCATTTCTGAACCTTCTCCAGCTTGATAATATCCTTGCTTTAAAAGGGCAACCAAAACTATACACAGTACTCCAGAAGAGGCCTACTCAACGTCCTATACAACCTCAACATGACATCCCAACTCCTATTCTCAAAGGTCTGAGCGTTGAGGGCAAGTGTGCTAAATGCCTTCTTAACCACCCTGTCTACCTGTGATGCAAACTTCAAAAATTATGTCCTGAACGCTTAGATCTCTCAATACTGCAACATTATCCAAGCTGTACTTTTAATTGTATAAGTCTTGCTCTTGTTTATGTTACCAAAATGCAACTTAAACCCTGACCAAGAGAAGTTTCAAGACATCAACAACCTTCAAAAAATCCAAGTAAAAACATCAACAAACCTCCTAAAATCAATGTAAAAACACACAGTAAGCAATAGAAGAATAAAGCAGGGAGTATACACATCACTGTTATACTTTATTTACTGCATAAAATATTTGAACATCATATTAGATCATGGTATTTAAGGTATATAATTTTTGCCAGTTTATCAAGAGTTCCAATTGATAAGCCGCCGGTTAACACAAAGTGTGCTGTATTAAACCAATAATGATCTGCTTTTGATAAAACCATAGATGTCAGTTAGCAATCCTGAAGTTTCCTCTTAGTAACCCATTCCATTATTCTTCATATAATAGATGCATTTTTCTGTTAATGTGGCCTTTTTTATGAACATTGTATTATGTGGGACTATTTCTAATGTGCTGAGATCTCCCAAATTTTATTTATTCTTCCTTATTAATTGTTAGAGCATCAGAAATCTTTTTCCTAGTCACTTTCATGGATTTATAGAGGTCATTTCTTTTTTTACTTTTTATTTCACTTTATCAAAGTGCTTGTTGATCCACTTAGAGATTACTCTTTAAGTAATATAGGAATGTATCTATCCTACAGTTTCAGTATTATGCCTCCATTATGTATTTATCTAAATAAATCTATAGTATCATTTAACCAGTGACCAAACCTCATTCAATGAGGTGTGCAGAAAGGTATGCCAGGAGCAGCATTAGGCATACTTAAAAATGAGGTGCACCTTGATGAAATTATAATACAGAATATGTATGCTAAATAGCTGAAACAGCATGCAAAAGATAGCTGAGTGATCCCAGAGCCAGTGAATCCGATCAGAACTCTGCAGTCTTTCCACTGAAGTGCCAGGCAATAACTGACTCCAACAAGTTGAAATTCAGTGGCAGCTCCTTTGTTGAATTTCCTAGCATCAGCATCCTGGGTTTTATAATAGATCAACAACTGGACTGGAATAGACCATTCAAATATTGGCTACAAGAGCAGATACCATTACTGAATCCCACAGTATCAACATCCTGGGGATTACCATTGACCAGAAACTGAACTGGAACAGTTATGAACATATTCTAGCTGCAAGAGCAGGTCGGAGGCTGGAATTTCTGTGGCAAGCAACTCATCTCCTGACTCCTTAAAACATACCCAATATCTCCAAGACACAAATCGAAAGTGCTTTAGAATATTGTCACCTTGCCTGGATGAATGCAGCTCCTGTGTATCACCTTAAACATTCACTTCCTCTACCACTGACACAGTGGCTGCAAAGATGCACTGCAGCAATTCACCAAGTCTGTTACAGTAACACCATCCAGGCAATGTGGCTGTTTGGACCAGGAACAATTCAGAAAAGGGTCAGGTAGACATTACCCCGAAATTGAGCTTCTGGTGGCAGGTAGAGGACTGCAAAAGAGCAAGAGGGTCCTACTGTCCTGTTTATTGGATGCAATGCAGAAAATTACCTGTTAAATTTTCACCGAATGAGAATTAGGAAAAGCAAAATGGCTAACAGATCCTGGGAGACAGTTGAGCTCAATAATGGCTGAAAACTATAACAACATCCACAACATACAATTGTTTACATGCAGTGTTTCTATCTGAAACATTTGTATATGATTTGCATTAGGAATGCTTGCATTGTATCAGCAATAAATTTCAAAGGATGAAATCATTAGCAAAAGTACTATTTGCAAAGTAACTGTGTAGCATGTGCTACTTAGTTTGTATATGTATTTATATACAATGTTGAGTATTGGCTGAAGTTAGCTGCATAATTGAGACATGGGCTATAGTTTACTGTTCTGTGGTCTAATTATTAATATGTCAATGCCAAGAAATTATTTATCTTATAACAGTTAGGCCTTGAAATATCTGTAAACATCAATATATAAATGATTAATGCATTGGGTTGTAATTTTCTTGTCTGGTATTTTAACAGGAATAGCTTGCTTAGAAAACAAAGGGTTGAACATCTATTAAAATAACTTCAGAGTCTTAGGCATTGATTGGTGTTTGAATTAAGTCATGACATATTCCTGGGAGTTCAAGATCAACTATTTATATGTATGTGTCCGTAGTCAAGTATTCAAGTATATTTTAGAATGTTTCACTTTTTTTGCTTCTTTAGATTTTTTTCAGAAGGTCCTGTGTTCACAGCTATCAGTAACTTCTTAAACAAATCCTTAGCTCAAGGGCATTCACTTCCACCGTTTGTACTTAGAGCCGCCCTCTATCTGTTGTCTGTATGTCAAGAAAAGTGCAGCAGACTGGACTGGGTAAATGAATATTTTTGTTGTTTGCTGTGTGTTGAATTACTTCTTTTGGTGGCTTGAGTGTTTACGGTATTTTTATGTAGTGCCAAAATCAGCAACTTTATAAAACAAAAATACTTAAAATTTATGTTAAGATAACAATAGGGAATATATCACCAAGGACTGAGACTGATCTTTATTCAACAGAAATCCTAAACTTGAGAAGCATAATGATTTTGTGCATGGCTGTGACTTTCACTTTTTCTCTCTAACAAATTATGTTTATAAAGCATCTAAATACAGGGAACAGTGAAAAGTACTTAACAAAGATTTAGGGAGAAATAGAGTAATTGAGCCAAACAGTAAGATATTAGGAGATGTGTCTAAAAGTTTGATGAAATAGGTGGGTTGAGTATTTTAATGGAACAGGTGGGTGGACTGAGGCTTTTATGGGAATAAATGGAGAGACAGAAGGGGTTAAATTGGTTAATTATTGAAAAGAAGTGTAGTAATCATGTTTCACAGTTGTTTTCTACCCTTTCAGTGTTATGCAAACAGCATATCAACTTTGTGCTGCCTGCTCAGTGTTACAATTGCTTTGTTCAGCTATTACTCCCAACATTGTGTAAACAGCCAATGAACAATGTTAAGAGGCCGGGCAACACTTAAACCTAGCTCTTCACCATGAGAGGTTTTAATGGCTTAAATAAGTGCTAGGGTCATTCTACAAGTGAACCTAACTTGGGAAAGAATGAAGAAAGGCTGATCACAAGAGAACACAGGCACCAAGATTATTGGATGCTCTGCTTCATTGAAGAATTGTGAAGAAGAAGAGATGTCCAGTTTCCTCAGCAGGAGACCCTCCAAGTTCATGGGAAGGTGGGAACAAAAGATAGCTGTAAAGATTGATGTCGGGAATACAGCTCCAAGAAAATGGATACAATGCAAGAAGAAGTTTAGTTATCCCATATGAGTATAGCAGAAAAGAGTAACATGTTGTAGATGTTTATCTTGAACTTAAAATGACAGATGCAGAATTTCAAATGATGACAACGTTTTATACCACAGGAATAAAGGATGAAAAGGGATTTTGTAAGAAATAGGATGAGAGGGAGCGAAGGCGATTAACATTGCAAAAGTAGCCTTTCACAAGATCACCAGAATAGCCTGCTCCTAAGATCATGTTGATCCCAACCCCTGTTACAAACTACACAGCGCCTGAATCATTTGTAGATCAAAGATCTGTTTATAACTCCATCTTGAATATATTCAATGCTCCAGCCTTAACTGCTCTCTGGAATAGAGAATGCCAAAGATTAAGATTCTCAGAGAAGATATTTCACCTCATTCACATCTTAAATGAAAGACCCATTTTGAAACTCTGTCCCCCAGTTCTAGATTCCCACACAAGTGAAACATCCTGAGATTTGCATTTTAATCAATTGAATCTTGCATCTCCTTTCTAACTAATTACAGATTTAGCAGGAGGGAGTCAGCCAGCCATTTTAGGTTTGGGAATTTTTCCATCAGTTCTATGATCCTTTGATCTTACACTGATAAATTCTGTGCCTTGATACCTCCTCTCCCACTACACCTGAGGAAGGAGCGACACTGCAAAAGCTAGTGTTTTCAAATAAACCTGTTGAACTATAACCTGATATCATGTGATTTTTGACAACACCGGCACCTCCACATCATAGGTTCAGCAGAAAATACACTGGAACCAATCCCTTCATTTCTTAGGGACCGACTGCTTTCTTCCTTTTTTTATACATGTAAAATGTTTTTGCTGTTTTTATATTTATTAATGGCTGAACTCTGATTTCAAATTATAATTTCTCCCTGTTTATTATTCTTTTAGTCATTTTTTGCTGTTTCTAATTTTTTTAATCTTCTGACCTCCCACAAGTCCTTGCAGCATAGTATGCCTTTTCTTTCAATTTCATAACATACTGAACATCCTTAGCCACACATGGTGCATCTTCCCAGAGATTACTTCATTCTGTTGCATATGAATTCTTCTTAAAGTGTTATGGATTATGTCTTCATATGTCATCATCATCATTAGTGGTTCCTCACAGACGAGGATGACTCTCTTCCACTGTCAGGGTGAGTCCATAGGTGGCCATACAGACCAATGTGGCTACCACAGGCTCTGTTACACTTGAGATAAAAGATGGTTACGGGAAGGGGTGGGTGAGGTGTTGGTGTGGCAGCAGTCTCTTTTTGCTGTTTTCGCCTGGCTTCCGCTTTTTCCCAATAGCGAGTCTCGAGGTGCTCAATACCTTCCTGGATTCACCTCCTCCACTTTGGGTGGTCTTGGGCCAGTGATTCCCAGTGTCTGTGGGAATGCCGCACTTCACCAGTGAGGCCGTGAGGGTGTCACTGAAGCACTTCCTCTGTCCACCTGGGACTCGCCTGCCATTTTGAAGCTGGGAGTAGAGTAGCTGCTTGGAGAATCTTGCGTCAGTCATGCTGACAACATGCCCAGCCCATCATAGTCAATCAAAGGTGTCAGTGCTTCGATGCTGGGGATGTTGGCCTTGTCGAGGACTCTGATGTTGGTGCGTCCTTTTTCCCAGCAGATTCACAGGATCTTGAGCAGGCAATGTTGGTGGTACTGCTCCAGCGCCTTGAGGTGTCTGCTGTAGACAGTCCACGTCTCAGAGCCATATAGGAAGGTGGGAACCACCACAGCTCTGTGAACCATGATCTTGGTGTCAGAACTGATGTTGTCCTCAAACACCCTTTTCCTCAGGCTGCTGTAGCACGCTGAATGCGGTGCTAGATCTCTTCATCAATAGTTACTTTGGCCAACAGAACACTCCTTAGGTTTTGGAAGTGGGTCAATGTATGCCACTACTTACTTATTGTCTTAACCTTTAAAATCCATTTTCCCAGTCCAATATAGCCAATTTTGTCTCCATACTTTTGTAATCAACTTTTTAAAGTTTAAAATATTAGTTTCAGGCTCAAGTTGTGAATTTTTATTATGTTATGATTACTCTAATCTAGAATTTCCTCTCCTATGGGATCATTAATTATTCCTGTCTCAGTATATATTGTCAGGTCTAAAATTGTCTATTCCCTTGTTTGTTCCTGAACATATTGTTCTACCTGTCCTGAGTGCATTCTTTGAACTCATTTTCAAGGTTACCTTTGCAAATTTGATTTGCCGAATCTATATGTGGTGCAATTTTTATCATCAAATGATTCAGGGGAAGTCTGTGGATATTCTGCACCTGGATCTCTTATGTCATCTGTATTATTGGTTAGTTTTTCCGATGCTGGATCTTATCTTATTTGCTGCTTCTGATTTTGGTTTCCTCATGCACATACATCTTACCACCTACAACTCTCATAGCCACTATCTCTTGCATTTGCTTTTCCCTTTGATCTTTTGCTGTCCTTTTCCTTCCATATCTCCTATGTCTGTATTTACTTCCTCTCCCCTTGTTGTTTACTTTTATTTCCACTTACCTTTACCCTTGCTTCACCACTGTTAACTTTTCCCTCAATTCATCTCTACTCACCCTTACTGATGCTTTACCTTGCTTTTTCTCTCTTCAGCTCTCCCTTCTGCTACTGTTACCATCTCTCTCCCCTTAACTCTTACCCCATCCCTCTCTTACTTCTCATGTCCAGCATTATGATATCATCTTAGCCTATCCCTGCCTTGCTGTCATAATTCCCATTCTTTGCCTTTCACTGCTGCCTCTTCCTCCTCCACAACAATTTACATTATAGAGTAACAAAAACAGAAAGTACTGGGGCAAGAATTCAGCAGGTTAGGCAGCATATGTGGAGAGAAACAGAGTTAACATGTCAGGTCCATGAGTGTTATTTTAACATATAAAACATTCCAAGGTGCTTCTAAAGAGCATATGGAAAAAAGATTAATACTAAGCAGAAGATAGAATGAATAGTGAGTAAAACTTGTTCATATAAGTGGAATTTAAGGAGCACTTTGAAAGAGGGAATGTGATATAGAGTCATAGAGATATATACACCATGGAAACAGACCCTTCGGTCCAAATCGTCCATGCTGATCAGATTTCCTATTTAAATCTAGCCCAGTTTGCCAGCATTTGACCCATATCCCTCTGAACCCTTCCTATTCATATACACATCCAGATGCCTTTTAAATGTTGTAATTGCACCAACCTCCACCACTTCCTCTGGCAGCTCGTTCCATATCTACACACCACCCTCTGTGTGAAAAAGTTGCTCCTTAGGTCCCTTTTAAATCTTTCCCCTCTCACCTTAAACCTATGCCCCTTAGAGCGCAAAATCCCTACAATGTGGAAGCAGGCCCTTAGGCCCAACAAGTCCACACCGACCCATCCCTCTATAGCCCACCTAAGCTCCACATCCCTGAACACTACGGGCAATTTAGCGTGGCCAATTCACCTAGCCTGATGCAGTAGAATAGGCTTAGCTTAGCAAACAATTCAAGTGGTTTGTAATACTTGATAATTTTCTTTCAAAGAAACTAGGCTACATTCAAGTGTGAATACAAGACACCTACTTCTACCAGAGAGGTCTTCCAGGACACACTTCACTGCTTGCATAATAATTGCAAAAATACAGTTTACTTGTCTCTGACTGAACATCAAATGTACTTCTGGTTTCAGCTTCATTGTAAGATGATGGAGAGCAGCAAATAACTATTGTAGTTCTGTTGTTGCCACCCAGTGATTCCTGTAAAATTCTGGTCGTTTTGCTGTCATGGTATGGTACATACGTAAAGTGTTTCAGAGAAAATAATGTCAGGGGTGTGGGCCAAGGCAGCTGAAGATACAGCCATCAAAAATGGGGCTAAAGAAGAGGACATTGCATGAAACAGTTGACTTAGAGAAACAGTATGGGGATTAAAAGACAAGCATGAGAATTTCAAATTGAAGGACTGATGCCAATGCCTTTACCGCTGAAGCAATTGTACCCCCTCCCCTCCCCATATCCCACTGGCTTGTGTTTGCTGTTGTGGTGCAAACTGTAGTTCCCATGCATTCAATTTCCTTTTT